CGCGACGACGACACACACACACACACACACACACACACACACACACACACACACACACACACACACACACACACACACACACACACACGCAGCACACACACACACACACACGCAGCACAAACACTACGGCGCAAAGAACTTGACCAAGACGGCGTCGGTTTGGCCCGTGGTTGTGGAGGCACCGTGGTCGGCCAGTCCAACCAGCTCATTGCGGACAGCCCCGGCCACGTAGATGTTGTCTGCTGCATCCACAGCCACCCCATACCCAACTGCCGTCTCGGGCGATCCAATCTGGGTCGACCACACAACCTCGCCCGTTGCCGCCGCCATCTTGACCACAAACAAGTCGTTGGTGCCTTGCTGTCGATAGCGGGAGAGCGCGTACTCCGTGTAGCCGGTCAGCACCACGTGCTTGCGTGCACTGTCCATAACGATGGCCCTGGCATACGTATCGCCACTGCCGTCCGTGGACGTGTGCGCCCACCACACAATGCCGCCGTCGCTCGTGTTGACGCGGGCAACGAAGAAGTGTGCGCTCGAACCACGCGCAGAGGCGTCAGGGCCTTCGTAGATGACGCTGCTCCTGCAGGCCACAACCACGCCGCCCTGCCCATCTGCGGTGATGTCGTAGCAGGAATCCTCGCCGACCGTGGAGAGCAGGCTGATCCACGAGCGGCGGCCGTCGCTGCTGTACTTGATCACCACAGCATCATCCAGGTCAAAGATCGAGCCACCAAACGAGCGCGGGTCTTCCGTGAGGCCTGCCACGTACACGTTGCCCTGCTCGTCAACAGCGACGCCCTTTGCGTTGTCGTTGTCACCGCTGCCGATTTGGGCGCTCCAGTCCACGTTGCCGGTGGTGGCGTTGAGGCGGGCCACGATGATGTCGCTGTCGCGGTTATGGGCGTTGTCCAGGAACGCCCCGGTTGATTGGCCAGCAACGTACACGGCGTCGCCGCTGCCGCTGACCGCAAGCGAAGCAAACGAGTGCGGGCCAGGGAATGGTGCGCTCCACAAAGGCGTGCCATTCTCGGCGTCGAAGCAGGCAACAAAGGCGCCAGCCGTCACCGCGGACTGCTGCATGATGAGGGAGGACGTCATCTTGCCGGCGACGAAGAGGCGGGTTGCCGTCGCATCCAACGCCAGCGCATTGCCCCACGGGCCATCAGACACCGTCTTGCTCCAGATGTCCATGCCGGTAGCTGCGTTCGCGCAAGCCACAACCACGTTGGACTGGCTCAGCAGCTGGCACACAAACCCGCCCGCCGGGTCCACGACCACGTCCGCCGCGGAATTGTGGCTCGGCGTCTGCAGCACATATGCCACCTCGTCTGCCACGCTGGGCTCCTGCTCGTAGTCGAGGGCGGCCCGCAGAAACTCGTGCCCGACAGTGAGGCCGTCCAGCACCTGCTTGCGGCTCTCATGGGCAGCCATTAGACGAGCGTGCGTGGCGGCGATCGCCGCTGTGTTGTTCCACAGCATTTGTGTCTTGGCCGTCAGATCCACGTTGTTCACCACCACATGGCCACGCCCCGTCGTCGTGTTCACGTGCAAGTTCCCATGCTGGTCGTTGGCAATCACCGCGGCATGTGGAGGGCCATCGTCACTGCTGCCACTGCTGCCGCTGCTGCTTGATTGTGCATTGGCCCACCCGACACCACCACCGCCCACCACAAACCCCACCACCACAACAACCCACAACCCACGCAGCGCCATAGTCGATCGCAATTTGGGAGGAAGCAAAATCGTACTCACTTCCCACCACGCCCACAAGAAGCAAGCAAGCAAGCAAGAAGGATGCTGTTGTTGACTACATCTGCCCGGCTGCGCCGCGCACCTGCTCTGCCTGTTGCGGTTGTTGCGGTCGTTGCCCTTGCTGTGGTGCTTGCGGCAGCGCCAAGTGGTGTTGATGCCGCTGGTGGGGATGGCCGCACGGCGTCGATTGAGCTGGTGGACACCGGCGGGGAGGAGCCCGACCTGGTGATCACCACGCACGCACCAAACTCCACCGTGTTCTTCAACCAGGCGTCCGTCTCCAACGTTGCTGCGGCGATGGACAGCGTCAGCGAAGGGCAGGCCGCCTTCGCCATGCAGCAGCAGCAGGACGGCGACCTCTTCGACACCCTTGCCGACGCGCGCGTGGGCGACACGCGCTCGGCGCTTTCACAGGCCACCGCTGACATCCTGTCCCGGCTGGAGAGCCGTGGCATCGACCTGCCACCGCTCGGCGTTTCGCAGTGGAGCACCCTGGCACAGACGAGCCCGACGGGCGCCGTGATTGGCGCAGAGGGCTCGATCCTCTTCCTCTCCGGCAGCACCGGGGACGCGCTCGTGACAGGTCAGAGCAGCCACGGCAAAACGGATGCGTTTGTGGCTGCGGTTCACCCGCGCACGGCCAAGCCCACATGGATCACACAGCTGGGCACCGGTGAGTTCGACACGGCAACAAGCGTTGCCCTGGACGCCTCCCGTGGTCGCGTGTTCATCAGCGGCGTCGTCGGCAACAAAGCAGCGCTGCCCGGCCACACATCGCGCGGCAACTCAGACATCTTCGCAGCCTGTCTCGACGCAGCCACGGGCGAGGTCCTGTGGACGCAGCAGCTCGGCACGAGCGAGTACGACAGAGCAGATGCCATCGCCGTCCTGCCGAGCACGGGCGATGTCGTGGTCACGGGATCGGTTCGCGGCAGCCTTCCAAACCACAGCATCTCCGGCATCAGCGATGTGGCCGTGGCACGGCTGAGCGGGAACAACGGCAGCGTCATGTGGACGCAGCAGTTTGGCACCAACGGGTTTGACAGCGGCTTGGCTCTGGCGGTGCCACCATCCCCGGGGAAAGATGATCGCTTCTACTTGGCAGCAGCTGTCGAGGGTCCCCTGGAGCCCAACCTCCCATACGGAGGCGGTACAGATATTGCCATTCTGTGCATGGACAGCTCGGACGGGGAGGCGCTGTGGATCCAGCAGCTTGGCTCGAGTGGCGCCGACACCCCATATGGGCTCACCCTCGACCCTTCTGGTGTAGTTCTGTATGTGGCAGCGGAGACCACAGGTTCGCTGGGAAGTGACGGCTACCCCGGCACCCGCGACGCAGTGGTTGCAAAGCTGAACGCTGTTACGGGCGCCGTGTCGTGGGTGCAGCAGTACGGCAGCACATCTTCCGACAAGGCGGTGGCGGTGCTGGTTGACGGCAACGACGCCAGCCGCCTGTATGCTGCCATGCAAACAACCAACTTTCGCTCAACCACGCCCGACAACTACAAGACAACGGTGGTGCGTCTCGACGCGAGCAACGGCGACATGACGCAGACGCGCGTCATTGGCAGCGGCAGCGATTCCCCGACCACCGCCACGTGGGCGGCAGGCAACACCATCATCGTCGTCGGATCCACCCGCACGCCGTTCTTTGGGTGGCCAACACCAGGCGGTGTTCCAACCAGTGGTGTCCCAAGCGCTAATTTTGCTTCCAACCCATACCTGGCAGCCTTCTTCGCCACGTGACGTCGTGCTGCGTGTGTGCTGTTTGTGTGTGTGTGTGTGTGTGTGTGTGTGTGTATGTGTATTTGTGTGTGTGCTGTGTGTGTGTGCTGTTTGTGTGTGTGTGTGTGTGTGTGTGTGTGTGTGTGTGTGTGTGTGTGTGTGTGTGTGCGTGACTCGGTGTGATAACACGTGACCGTTGAAGCCTACCCTGTGTGATGTTATGTTACTTCTTTTCCTTGCATGTAAGCAGTTTCCGTTCGTGCTGTCTTTCTTGCTCCCTTGCCTCAACCATGGCTCTTCTTCTTCTGCCTCCATGTGCGATGTTGTGTGACGTTGTTGTATGACGGTATTCGTTATCAGACTTGCCCACGGTGTTATTCTCGTCCATGCCAGACTTGTCTCTCTTCATTTCATGCAGATTATCCGTGCTTTGTTTTGTGGCGCCGTGTTCATGACTGGGCTGTTGTCGTGTTGATTGGTGTGACAGTGTACACGTTGATGGTCATTACTCACACGATATGCACAGCGCGAAATAAATGCACAGCAAGCGCCGACAGAGAACCTGGTGAAACCTGATGTGATTGGATGAAGCTCACGAAACAATGGATAATTACGGGGGGATATGCACATCATACACGAACAAGGCAAGATGCAAGCAGGAATCAAGCAACAGAGCAACAAAGTAACCTCCTCACAAGCACATGTTGTCTGCCCGTGTTGCCTCTCTGGCACAAACAGCTCGCAAACGGTAACCAGCACCTGATATACGCAGATACAAGCAAACGGGCACAGAAAGTTACACACACGCGCGCGCGCGTGTCATCGCATGTATTTGTTGGAGACGCTGCGTGTGCTTCCTCTTCGACTGATGGCTGCATTGACACTCGCCCGTCTGCTATCACCATCGCTGCCGCTGTTTCTTCTTCGTGAACTGACACTACTCCTGCTCCTGCTCCTGGCATTGCCACCGCTACCGCTGTTGTCGTTTGCAACAGTCGAGGATGAACCACGGACACTGCTTGCGGTTGCTGCTGTCGTTGCTGTTGTGGCTGCAGCTGTTGTCGCTGGTGCTGTTGTTGCTGTTGCTGCTTTTGGTGTTGCTCGTGTCCAGCCATCAGCTGCTGCTGCTGGCGACATTGCCTTGACGGGAATCGACTGGGAGCGTCGCAGCGCACCAGCAGGCAGCGATCGCGCTAGTGCATTTCCACCGCCACTCATCACGCGCTGCCGTGGCTGCTGCTGTTGGTGGTGGTGCCGTTGTTGCTGCTGTTGCTGCTGTTGGTGTTGCTGTTGCTGCTGTTGGTGTTGCTGTTGCTGCTGCTGTTGGTGGTGGTGTTGCTGTTGTTGCTTGCGGCGGTGCGGGGAGAGGCCCGATGGTGTCGCTGGCCGTGATGAGCGCGAGGACGCCGCCGACGACGGACGGGCGAGATGCACCGGTGGCGGCCCAGGCAGTCGCTCAACTGTACGCGCTGCCCGTGATGGCGCCATGACCTTGAGTGTCGTGGTCGTGTGCGCGTGCACCATGCGCTTCTTGCGTGCTGACGGCGGTGACGATGTGCTCTTCGCTCTCGCCTTGGGCGATGGGGCGTGTGTGGCGTCCTCGTGCTGGTGGCGGTCCGGGCTCGTATCGCTGCTGCCAGACTGCAGTTTCGCTGCGTGCATGCTGATGAGCGAACGCGTGTTTGGCAGCGGCTTTGCGAGTGAGGGCGCGGGGCTGAGCTGCGATACCACGCTCGCTTGCTTCATCGAGTCGCTCGCAGACACTATCGCAGATGGCTTCCGTCGCCTGCAAGAGTGTGTGATTGTGCGCATATGTGCGGTTGTACGTGTGTGCGTGTGTGTGTGTGTGTGTGTGTGTGTGTGTGTGTGTGCACGTGTACGTGTGTGTGTGTGTGTGTGTAAGTGATGATGTTTGTTCGGCACGTGTTCAAGAGTAAACCGAGGTGAGCTGTTGCGAATAGGGGCATGCAAGCCGACCACGACGCGAAAGAATAAGACGAACAAAGCAAACGAGGAACAAACGAACACCCACGCACACAAGCACGCATACACACTTCTATATTTTCATGCACAGCTCACCTGACAGCCTTGCCCGGGGACGTGAGGTGGTAGTCTGGTGGCGCGGTGACAGCCCTGTGGACCTCGCTGATGGTATCGCCTCTCCACACAAGATGCGGCTCGTCAGCCAACTGAAGAAACTTCCACCGGTTCGGGTCTGTGCTCTTGAGTGACGCCAGCAGCGCCTTGCGGTGGTCGCCGTTCAGCGCGCGCATCTTGCAGCGCTCACCACAGAAGAAGATGTGCTGTATTGTGCGTGTATGTGTGTGCGTGTGTGTATGGGTGTGTGTGCGTGTATGAGTGTGCGTGTATGAGTGTGCGTGTATGAGTGTGTGTATGTGTATGAGTGTGCGTGTACGAGTGTGTGTGAGGAGCAAAAAAGGGAGCACCGAGTGGCATCAACTAAAGCCGCAAGCGACAGCAAGCAGTCCATCTCCCCTACAGCTACGCCACCGCTTCATCCTCCCCCCAACACACACGCCACATTCAACGAGTTCAAAGGCATTACCGCTGATCCAGAAAACGGCATGAGACGCTGCTTGTACGAGCGACCGCATTGGGCACACAGCTCAATATCGTCTGTAAAGGAACGCAAGCGGCAGTGTTGTTGATGGTGGTGGTTATGCAAGCAGTCGCATGTGGGGCGTGAGTGGGGTGTCACTTTGACACAGCAGCGGCAGCATGACATG